TTTTTTGGTTTTTCTCCGGTACCGGGAACCGAACTCACGACCTTGTGCTTGCCAGGCAGGCGCTTTTGCCGCTGAGCTAAATCCCCAGCCCCGACTCATGATTATTTCTTCATAGCCTATAACGCTTCCTTTAAGGATAGCTGTATTTATACGATTGCATCTTTTTAATTAATAAGTTAGAAGCTCAAATTCATTGATCTGACCTCAACGAAGTATCTTAGCCAAATGGCTAGCTGTGTATTATCTATGGCAGGGCTTCTCTCCTCTCCTTGCCAGCCCTCCTCCTGAGGATCTCCTGGTGGACCCTTGTACTCCACTTCCAATGTTAGAGGGCCGCAGGAACCAGCTTCTCTATTTGTAGCTGTCCTCTATGTGAGTAACCTTTGTCATGGTTTTGTAAGTGTTATAGAGGCTCACAACATTGAAGTTTTTATGCCAAATTTCGTCCAGAAACCAAACTTCTTCATCTCAGTACCCACCCGATTTCCACACGGATGTCTCCTGGTCATTTTAACATGGCAGAAGCAGAAATACCTCGTTTTCTTCTCTTTGAAACCTGTGCTTAGACCTTCCCCCCGCAACTCAGACAACTCTGTTCTCTCCTTCAAATCAAAGACCTAGAAGTCGTCCTTGACTTCCTGCTTTCTTTCACAACCCACCTCTAGTCCATCAAAAGATGAAATGGGATATCCCTTTAGGTGCATCTGTAACATCATCCTTACTACTGCCACGAGAATTTTGGTCCAAGCCATCACATTTCCTTGCTTAGATTATTGGCAGCAGCCCTCTGGCCAGTCATCCGGTGTCTACTCTTGCTCCCCCTACAGGCTGTTTTTAGCACCGCAGTCAGAGGGAACCTTCGGTAATACACGACTGCCCACACCGCCCTTCCCCTCCAACCACCTACAAAGTCCTCTTTCACACAGGGTCCAACGCCAGTCCTTATCTTGACCTGGCCACGCTATACCAACTTTGATTTCATCTGCTGTTCTTGCTGTTCCTCACAATACATGCACCAATCCATCTTGCTGACCCTGAAACACAAAAGACACACTCCTGACCCAGAGCCTTTGCACTCACAGTTCTATCCGCTAAGAAAGGTTTTCTCCCCGCATCCCTGGATGCCTTATCTCATGATTGTCTGGAGGCCTTATTTCGAATGTCTCTTTGTCAATAAGGCCTTCCCTCACCACCTAATACAAACCAGAGACCACCTACTACATCTTACACCTTCAGATACTCTTGTTTTTCTCCATTGCGCTGATTAGCACCTGGCAACTACATATTTACTCTTTTGTCTGTCAGTCTAGTGGGGTATACATTCTACAAAGTCAGGCTTTTGGTGTTTTTTCTTTTCTTTTTTCTTCTTTTTTTTTTTTTTTTTGTCTTTTTGAGACAGGGTCTCTTTAGGCAGTTCAGGCTGGCCTTGAGTTCACTTTGTAGCCCAGGCTAGTGTTGAACTCGCAGCCATCCTCCTGCCTCAGCCTCCCAAGTGCTGAGATTGCAGGTGTGCATCCATGCCTGGCCTGGTGTATTTTTCTTATTGCCTTGGCACAGAACCTAATTGCAGTCATAGCCAGCTTTAAATTGTATTGATACATTTGTTTGTACAAATGGTATGAAAATATTACATTTAGACAGTGAAACGATGAGCATTCCAAGACCATTCCTACTGTCAATTGAAATTATATTCTATTTCTAGAAAGTGACACATTTCCTCATTTTGCTTCATGTGGGCTAAAAATCAGCTGAGGCTCTGTTCCTAGAACCCTGGTCTCTAAGATAAGGGAGGATAGTGACCCAGCCCCATGCTGAGGAAATGGAAAAAAAACCCTATCAGAGACTTCAAAATTTCCACACAGATGATTCATATGCGGATGAACAGGGTAATTACAGTTATTCTAGAGAAGGGAGAAGAAAGACTATTTTAAAATAGAGTTAAGGGGCTGGGGATTTAGCTCAGCGGCAAAGCGCCTGCCTGGCAAGCACAAGGTCCTGAGTTCAGTTCCTGGTACCGGAGAAAAACCAAAAAAAAAAAAAAACCAGAGTTAAAAGGAAGAAAATAGCATAATATAGTTGTAGTCACAATCCACCTTTCTTTAGGATTCACAAGACAGGCCAACATCCCACTGCAGTAGAAAATATACTAAAGCAGAGAAAACAGAATTCTTTAATGTAACAATTCTCACACAATGCTGCTAATAGAAAAATTGTAGAATCTCTCTCCTGAGACCCATGAAGTCCTGTAAGCAGCAGGAGAGCAAAGAGCAGTCAGGTGTCTTCTGATGAGTATTTGCTGCATCACATCACAGTGTCTTAATTATCTTCAGAATTAAACAGACATGGCGACTGCACATAGCCCAGAGATATCAAAGAAACTCTCCCACCGCAGGTTGCGGAGGTTGCAAGGAGTGAAACTACACTGAAAGCAGAAATTGACTGGGATTCTCCTAGTGGAAGGCGTGATATGCTAGAAGCTCACCTCCCACAGTAACTTTCAAGTCCCCTAATTCCAATGAAGATTCAACCATCTTAACAGCATTTTGATGAAGTAGCTCAGGATAGGAAAGTCATTACTGGATCTGCAAAGACATGGATGCACGTACAAATAGATATATGGATTTTGAAGAGTTCTATGGTGATCTGCTAACTGAAAGAAATTAATGACATATTGATCTTATGAAAATTAAAACTCATAAGTCTTTGTTTTACATGCTTTTGTGAAACCACATTCTATTTAGCTTAATAGATACCATAACTCTTATGTTTTATTTAGTCAATGTATTTTAATAAAAAGAATTTATAACTAATTTCATCACAACATGTGTGCACCATCTGCTTGTGAGGTAGCACACCTGCTTGGTCCCTCCCGGGGCAAACTGCTGGGGCCAGGGACCTTTGGGTCCCTGCAAGGCCTTATTTTTCCCTTTTCTTCCTCTGGTATCAACTTTAGGCCCCTGAAAGGCTTTATCTTGACCCCCAAACTTCACTATAGTATTTCCTCTGTCATTAGAGAAATTTGGTTTCTTCAAGGGCAGGTCTCAGGAAGTACCCGGCCTCTCCTTCACAGAGACAAGACAACTAAGTGGTACCATCTTCAGTGAAGCCCAGTGGCTTTGTGGCTACTCCAGAGAGAACAGATGTGTGTTTCTGCCTTCAACACCTTCTACTTCATTTTCACACCTCACTAAACCAGTGTCATGACCAAGAGGTGATGGCTTCCACCCGGATTTGATGCCTTACTAAGCCTTTTCTTAGACTGGGAATTCCTCCCACATTCCACCCCCTCTTGCAGGACTCATCCTTGTCTTTTCCTTCCCACCATCCTACTCCATCCAAAGCTGAGTAGTTGTTCAGGAACTGATCACTGCAATATTAGGTATTAAAATATTTCTAAACAGACAGTGAAAGCTACCCAGCCCCTTGTCGCAGTGAAAACAGGTTGCTATGATATTTTCTTTGAGAAATGAGTTCTTTTATTGGGATTATTTTCTCATAAACCAATAATCTAATATTATTATTACATTTTTCCTTTGAATCTCCTGACCCACTGTGTGACACCTTCAACATGTTAGTCACTAATTTATCTCTACTTTTTTCATGTAGATAGCTAGAACATAAAATATATTCTTTAACAATTTGGAGGCATTGATTACATTAATATTGCTATAAATCTATTAACTCTATCTATTTCAAAAATGTTAGCATGTCTTTATTGAGGGAGTAACCCACCTTTCCTTGCTTCCTCCAGTCCCTGTTAATACTAATCTTTCTGTCTCTCCTTCTGTCTCTAGGTATTTCATAGAAGTGGAATCACACAATATTTGTTTTTTTTGTGTGTCTGGCTTATTCTATGTAACATAATGTTTTGAAGGTTCACCCAAGCTATAACATGTATTAGAAGCTCATTCTTTTGCAACACTAAATCTTATCCTATTGCATGGGTGTACAACTTTTGTTTGTTCAATTATCTGTTGATGGACATTTGGGATGTTTTCACCTTAAGCTATTGTAAATACTGCTGCAATGAACATGGGAACATGTTTCTTTGAGTTACAGGTATCTGTTTTCAATTCTTTTGGGTTTTTTTCATGTTTCAAATATTTAGTAGCTTCATATTTCTTTTTATTCAGTGATCCCTTCTATTACCATAACAATAGCATTGGAGACCACCCCAAAACTTTATGTCTTACAGCAGCAATAGCTTTTCACGTGTGATATGTAATTTAGAGCTGAAGAAAATGATTTTCTTCTGTTTCTGATCAGCGAGGATACCTCAAAGCTTGGGCCTGAATAATCTCAAGGCCTCTTCATTCATCCTTAGTGCCTGGGCTGGGAATACTTGAAAACCTTGCACTTACCTCCATGTGGCTTCTCCATATGGTTTCTCCAGTGTGAAAAAGTGACTCAAATCCCTAAAAGCAAATGTAACAAAGGAGACGGCCAGACAGAAGGTGCTCCTTGCACTGTGGCATCAGAAATTGCTGTGTGTCCTTTCAACCATATCCAACCCTAGAAACCCATCACACTAGTGGCAGCTTATATTTCAGAGAAGAATGTTTGACTCCACCATCTGTGGGAGGAGGGGAAAAGAATTTGAAAATGCATTTTTATTTTTTATTTTATGAAAACATGAAACAAATTTTCACAGCAAAATAAGATAATAACAATACTTAATACATTGTGTATCGTTAGACAATTTTTAAAGCTATCTCAATCTTCATGACAGGGTTCTCATTTCTATCAAGATTCTATTGATTGCAAAATATAGAGACCCTTTTTTGTTTAATAAAACCGTGGAAACTTAGAATCAGAAGTTAAGACTGGGAGCCAGGCCTGGTTTGACCGTGTTACTTGCTTCAAAGTAGCCCTGAACACTTAAAGCACAAATACTAGTGACTCTACCTAAGAATTCCATAGAGATGGCATTGTAGATCATCTTTTCTGTCTTTTCTGTCTCCAAATAAAAAAATGTTCCTTGCGTTGTATTTAGAATCTTAAGAGGCAAACTGTCATCAACCTGACATCCTGTTTGTTCCTGGCCATTTGCCTCGCCTTAACGTATGCTACCTTTGGATGGCACATGGGATGTGGAAGACCATTTGGATGGCCCTGGAAAGAGTGGGAGGCTACTGAACAGTAGACTTCTTTATGAGAGATAGCTGATTAAGTGTGTTATTACCATTTCCAGAAAAATGTGAAGTTAATTGGCTTTTTAACTGTCAATTAAATCCTGTCAATTAAATTCATAGTCCAGTTAAAAGAGTTGGATGAAATCATGGCAACAGCATTGAATGGCCTTGGAAAGCCACTGAGAAATGTAATTTTGCTCTACAAGGCTCTGAAGACCATCTAACCCAACTTCCTCCATTCACAAACCTCCTCCACTTTCCTCTTAGGAGCTGCTGTACTGCCACTAGCATGACAGTAACTGAACACTTGGTTACTGCTCTATCTGACATTTTCAGACTAATGCTCAATATATATTTAGTCAGATCACTTGGGTACTTTAGGGGAGCTTCTTAATTTAAAACTTAAACATTAACTAGGTTTCTAAATCTACTAAAGAAGACTGTACATCTCAGAACTCTGCGATTCCACCCAAATATCTATTTTGAAAAATTTAACGTTTGTGAATAGCTGGACCAACCACTTTATCCAGTAATGTTCCATTATACATCATGCTCTTAGTTTATGTTAGATCACAAATGCTTATTTATTTTAAAATTCAAAGTATAGTTATATATATTTCTATATAAAACTTAAAAATTAGGATTCCTATGAAAGCAAAAACCCAATGCTCTTTTCTACTAAAATAAATACAGCATTAATAATACAGTTTATTACTGTATTATTGTCTGAGCAAGAGATGGCAAAGGACAGTAAAATGTCCAATAATGTGGGCAAATACACAAAACACCCCCTCGGTATTTGTCCTTCTGTGTGTGGGTCCTAGACCTGGATGATGGATGATAGGACTGTGAACCTAGCAGCGTTTGCTGTTCGCTCTCAAACCCTCTTTTCATTCTCTTTCTTTCTCTGACTAGGTCTCCCCTTCCCTCGCACTAGACTTTCACTTATCCATTTTTTTTCAAAGAACCATTCCTTCCTGTTTAATAAGGACTAATATTTTTAATCAATTCCTGAGGAATTGAAACTTGCAAGAAAATCACAATTTCTTCTAAACCATGGGCCAAAAAGATGTCAGCATCAACAACTTGTACTAGTTATTTTTTTCCAGCTCATTTCCTGCTGACACAGCATTGGCCCTGTTAAAAATCTATGCCATCTTTCCCTGTGACTACCTGCTGTCTGTCCTCCTCACACATAACCCCAAAATGTCAGTTTCTTCAACCCTTGCCACTATTTTGCACTCTATCTCTTGCCAATCCTTGGCAATCAGAGTATGATCCACTTAACACACAACCTCAATCTTATACAAATTTTTTACTACTCATTTATTTTTACACATCTTCAGTCAATTTCTCATTAGGTTTTTCACCGTCCAATTTTTTAATTCCCCAAAATGGTAGTACCATCTCTTTTCACTTTAATAATCAGGAAACAAAAAACAAAGATATTGAGAGTAGCACTGTCTAAGCACTTGCTATGTGCTGTGAACTATGCTACGTTACATGTATAATTATTTTATTTCAGCCTATGAGTAAGGTTCCAGGTTTGGTGTTACTTTTTCACTCTTTTGTCAGATTGGCCAGAGACACTAAAGATCACAGAGGGTAGTTGATTAGCACAGGATCATCCCTCTGAGCCCTGACAGAGTGGTGGTTACAACTTGGTTGCTGGTCAGGGTTCATTCCTCCACATCACGTTACCTCTTCCTGAGAGGGGATTTTTGGGAGCTCTGAGACTATTGACTGTGAGCCTGTCCATCTTTCTCTCGCCTCTAACAGTGTGCTCACTTTTGTGTATCCGGTGAGCTCCGCAACCACACTTACTCTCTCCTTGCTGTCAGTTCCAGAACACTGCACTTTTCCAAGATTAACTATGCTCTTACGGTGGTATATGTCTTGTTCTCTCCCAACTTTTAAAACAATAGATCATCATTATTTCCTAGGATTTTGGTTTGATTGTTTCTCTTCTGGCTACTTCTCTTCAGTCTACAGCCATATTTAAGACTGAAATATTCTTCTCTTTACTCCACTCTACTTACCCTTAGAGTTATCCTGTTCTTCATCTGCTTCCTCTTACTGTTATATTTCTTAAAGTAATAATGAATCCTCATTCCTTCTACTTTATATTTCTTTTTTATCAGAAATTGATATGCAGTCTTCTTAAAATTTTCTCTATGTCTAAAAATGTCATATGATTTTGCTTGGTTAGTTTGCTGATATGAGGAATTTTATTATTTAACTTTGAGTGATGAACCAGCCTTGCATTCTAAGAATGTGTTATACATTTTGTATATGACTGAATTTGATTTGCTAATATTTCACTGAGGATTTTTTTTATCTCTGTTCAGGAAAAATGTTGGTCTGTTGCTTTATTTTCTTATGCTGTATTTGTTTTTCATATCAGATTAATTCTGGTCAAAAAGGTTAGTATGTGTTCCTCTCTTTTATTTTGTGGAACAGTTTACGTATAATTAGTTTTTCTTCCTTAAATATTCAGTGGAATTTCTAGTGAAGTTTCTTGACCTTGTGGTTTTTTTTATAATTTTAGTTATAGATTCAATTTATGTAACAGATATAGTATAACTAATATTATTTATTCATTAGTAAGAAGCTTTGATATCTTTCAAGAAATATGTATATTAAATCTAAGTTCTTAGATTTACTCATAAAAAATATTTACAATAGTCTCATTCTGCACGGTATGGTGAATTACACATCTGTAATTACACATCTGTAATTCTAGCACTTAGGAGGCTGAGGCAGGTGGATCTTCATGAGTTCAAGACCAGCCTGGGTTGCAAAGTGAGCTCAAGGCCAACCTGAACTGCATAGAGAGACTATTTCAAAAAAAAGAAAAAAAACCAGTCCCATTCCTTTTAATATTAGTAGGTTCAATAGCAATACCCCCTTTTCAATCCTGATGTTTTATGTTTCTCTCTTGCTCTCTCAAGGAATAAAAGAGCTACATATAGGAAAGGAAAATTCAAATTATCATTATTTGCTGCTCTACATAGACTCTCAGAATTAATAATTAACTGTAGCGATGTAGCAGGATACAAAATCAACACACAAAAATCAGTAGCATTGTGTATACCCATAATGAACTCAATGAGAAGGAAATTATGGAAGCAATACTATTCACATAACATCAAGAAAAATGCAATATCTAGGAATTAACCTAATCAAAGAAATGAAAGACTTTTACAAAGAAAATTACAGTACTCTGAAATAAGAGATTGACTAAGACACCAAAGAATGGGAAAATGTCCCCTGCTCCTGGATAAGCAGAACCGATTTTGTCAAATGACCATAGTCCCAAAATTGTATATAGATGCAATGCAATCACAATCAAAATACCAACAGCATTCTTCACAGAGCTAAAGAAAACAATTCTAAACTTCAGGTGGAAGAAGAAAACTTCACCAGGATAGCAAAAGCAATCTTGAGCAACAAGAACAAAGCAAGGAGCATCTCAATACCTGACTTCAAGCTATACTACAAAGAAACAGTTATAAAAAAAGGAGCGGGGACATGATACTGGCACCAAAACAGACATGTGGGTCAGAGGAACAGAATAGAAGAAAGCAGAAACATCCTCCAATACATTCAGCTATTTGAAGAAGGGACCAAAAACATATGTTGGAGGAAAGATGACCTATTTGACAAATGGTGCTTGCAAAACTGGCTGTTTGGGGGTGACGGAAGCTCAACCCACATCTCCACCATGTACTAAACTAAAATTAAATGGATCAAAGATCAAAACAGAAACATTGAACCTACTGGAAGACAAAACAGGTAAAACACTTGAAGCCATAGGTGTAGGAAAGGATTTCCTAAACAGAATCACAATTGCATAAAAAATAACAACAAAAGCAAACAAATGAGATTATCACAAATTAGAAAGCTTCTGCCTAGCAAAGGAATCAATTAGTAGAGCAAAGAGACAGCCTGTAGAATGGGAAAAATTTTGCCAGCTGTTCCTCAGACAGAAGACTAATATCTAGAATATATAAAGAACTGAAGAAATTGGATCACATAAAATAAAGGACCCAATCAAGAAATAGGCAAGTGAAACAGACAATTCTTAGAAGTACAAATGGTCAACAAATATACAAAAAATGTTCAATATCTCTGGCCATTAGAGAAATGGAAATTAAATAAACAGCACTAAGATTTCATCTTACGCTGAAATAAATGGCAATCAGGAAGTTAAAGAGTAACAAATGCTAGTGAGACTGTTGAAAAACAAAACCTCCTACATTGGTGGGAATGTAAACTAGTACAACTATTCTGGAAATCAGTATGGAGATTTCTCAAATAACTGAAATTAGAAATTCCATATGACCCAAATATTTCCCTTCTACGTATCTTTCCCAAAGAGATAAAAACCTAGTATTACAGTCTTACATACATACCAATGTTTCTAGCAGCACAGTTCATCATAGCTGAATCCCGGAAGCTGCTTATATGTCCATCAATAGACAAGTGGATGAAGAAAATCTGGTATCTGTACAAAATGGAATACAACTCAGCTATAAAGAATGATAAATTCAAGACATTTGTAAGAAAGCAGACACAGCTGGAAAATATAATGTTGAGTGAAAATCAGCCACACAAGCTTAAATACTGTATAGCATCTAATGTGAGTAAGATGAGGTATAAAAAGCAAAACAAAGGGTGGATAGAGGGAAACAAGAGACTCGAGCTCTCACAAATAGGAGGGGTCCAGGAGACCCAAAGGAGAGGGGAAAGGGAAGGAGGAAGAGTTAAGACGTGCCACGGACAGGAACCTCATAACCTCAACGAATGTAAACATTATGTGCTATAAGCAAGAGCAGAAAATAACAATAATAAAGAAAAAGGGGAAAGAGAATTTAGAGATGAAGGGAGGAGGGTAGGGAGGGAAAGAGGATTTTTTTAGAAAGACAATGAGAGAAGCTATGTTATGTACATACACCTACTACTCCCCAAGATGTACGTAAACTTCATGTACAGTACACAGGCACTAATAAAATTTTTAAAAAGAAAAGAAAAATTACTATTTTTTGTTTGTTTGTGTCTCATGTACTACTCTCTTTAAAATAAAAAAAAGATTTTAAAAACCAAAAAAATTTTAAAAAAGAAAATGTTTTGTTGAAAATAAACTGAATCTGGCCCCTAAAGAATGCAATGGTTTCCAAACATTAGTGGTAATATAAAGATAAAATAGGGGAGATGTTAATTTTCCCCCAGTCAACAGTGGTCAAGCCTCAAGTGCAACTGTGGCCAGTTCATGGGTAAATAGCTCTATATATTCTGCTCTATATACATAGGGAAATTAATATACCTACTTATATACAGGTAAAGATATATTTACATGTACACATTTTTAGGTACATACACTGATATACAAAAGTATATATATGCACTCACACACACACACACACACACACACACACACCTCAGAAGTCAGGGTAAACAAGACTCCTTAGCTTTAAGAAGAGAAGCTTCAGGTGCAGTGGACAAGGTAGCCATCTTCAAACATCTGAAAAGCTGTTTGGATGAAGTATTTCTTCCGTGCTCCCCAGGGATGAAAACACATTAGTGGTAAATGAAGCAAGACAGATATCAGCTGAACAAGAACTTCCATAAACTCCCTCTTGCCAGGAGACTAGACCTCTTCTGGCAGAGAAGAGCACCTTATAGCGGATATGTTGGAACTATGGCAGGAACCAAGTGCTTTACCTTTGCCCTACTACCAGGCAATTCATCTTTACTGAATTAGTCTCACAGCTTTGCCGCTCCAACTTCCATATCCCCATAGACCCTTTCAACTTGACATCGTGTGTCAGTCTCTCCTTCCTGTGGAAGACTTTGACTGGGCATATCCTGCTGTTTGAGCGCCCCATGTCTCCTTGCAGTAGACCTACCATTACAGGCCAATACTATACTTGGGGTCACTCAGCTGTTTCCCTGACCAGTCCGTCCTGTGGTTCTCTAAGGAGACTTGGTGGAAGCAGAAAGCATAAAATCATTACATGGGGCACTTGAGTGGATGACTCTGTGGACCCACATATCTCTGAGGTTCTCCAAGGAGGGCTCCTGTTTCTTACTTTCAGTTCTGTATTAGGGGAAACAACCCGTTTCCTGGTCTTCCACACTGAAAACTTTGGCGCTGTGTATGCTTCCTCTTTCTCTATTGCTCACATTCAAGTCTTACTGATTACTCCTGTAAGTGTCTCTCAGAGCTGTCCACTCCTGATGGTTCGAATAGTCATCACCCCATGTCAAAACCCTTTAAAATCTTCCTTCCACATTCTTACGATAACCTTCAATTCACTTCCCTGTTTTTTGTGTCTTCTTCCCAACTCTCCATTTTTCTGTTCTACTCTGGCTTCTTGCCACTCCCAACATGATCTTCCTGAAACTCTGCCTTAGTATGTCACACATTTGCTTAAAAACCTTCTACCTTTCCACCAAAAAAATTCCAGGTCGCCTAGAAAATTATTCAGACTCTAACTCTAATCTGCCCTTCATTACTCAGCTCATCTTTTTTTCACATTCAACACTCAACACGACTTCATTCAGTGTAGTTCTGGCACTTGCTGTGTACTCTAGATATGGAATGAATTCATGGATAAAGGCCAGCTCCCCTAACAAGAAAGTCTAGGAGAGAGACTCACTTTTCAGAGCAGACATGTTCCTTACAATCTTAGCTATTTCATATGCTAAATCTTCAGAGAAAAATGAATTCCTCTTTATGGGATGTGTGTGTGTGTGTGTATTTGTGTGTGTTTGTGCACATGCACCCGTGTGTGTAAGTGGAAAGGGAGTTTGCACCTGGCCTCCTGTAGCTTGGGATGGCAGACACTGAGCAATGTCATGGTACCTCTGCTGGAAACTGACATTCATGAAAGCTGGTAAGAAACGCAAGGTCTATGCCCTTTGAGGATTTGGAGCCTAATCTAATCCCAAAAAGTGAACCATGTAAGCCCCCTGTCTCGAGCTTCTCTCCTTCTCTGTTCTCACTGTTCCTTAAATGATTGGGTACCTATACTCTGCTTCAAAACCCCCACCGTTTTACTGGATTTGACTTAACAAATTCTTGTTTCCTGTTGGCATAGTTTCTTCTGCCTCTGATAGTTTTTCTGACAAGTTCTCCAACAAACGCGTAAGACTTAGAGGCGTCTCTGAACATTCTATTGAACTAGGACTCACCAAATCCTCAAGCGTGTTCTTTTTCAGATTCTTAGCAACAGGGCAAGGTAGAATCTTGTTTTCAAGCACTGTTTCAAAACAAATCTGGAATGAGATGCCACCCGAATCTTGTGGCTGCAATTCAAAGCCCCAAAAGGCCTCAAAGGGCTCAAAGCAGAGCCTGGAGTGCTCAAAGCTCTAAATTCGCGCTGCTGTGTGTTTGCTCACTTCACACTAACCGCGGGAGACAGCAACACTGAGCACCGTCTCTGAAACAGCCTCACCTAGCTGTGCCCCCACAAACCAGGCTGAAACCACAACATCCTTCTTGAGTATGGCAGGCTCCACCATGCACTGCGGAGGGGGAGAGCTTACTCCCCTCCTCCCCCCACTTTCACTACTTCAGCCCATTACATGGCAAAGTCCCTGCAGATCCAGGGGAATCATTGCCACCGTGCTCCTTCTTAAAGTGGTTAAGGAAAGCATGTACTGCGCCAGAAGGCCTCCCTGAGATTTCTGAGGCTGCGGGAGCCCCTTAAAATTTCCTTCTGAATTCAGCTCCATTTAGCAAGTTGATCCACTGCACCGGTAGCACCTCAGAAAGTTCCTTTCAAATGCTAAAATGCCACTTGGAAAACTGAGATTTCAATTTTTTCTGGAGGGCAACTTCCTCCAAATGGATGGCTGTGTTTCTGAAATACTATATCTTCCTAAGAAAGGTGGGAAAAGTAACAAGTAAGCAGCGACAAATATTAAGTGGACATTTAGCATGTGCCAGTATGTTAAGCATTTTACAAAATTAGCTCATTCAAGCCTCATCTGTAGTAATGCACTCACTTGATAAGGTTGTCTCATCTGTAGACAACCTTATCAAGTGAGTGCATTACTATTCTCATGATGCAGTGAACAGCTAATGTGCGAAGGGGTTAAAGAGCTCAGCCAACTCACACAGCTAGGAAGAGGCTAGGGTGGTTACCTAGACAGGAATCTGCCTTCAGAGTCTCTGGCTTTCACCACTCTACTGGCAGACTACCTCTCTCTTACCTGTGCCTCAGGTAGAAGCATTGCCAGGTATAACAAAGTTTCCAAGAGCTCCATGAGCAAAGGACTGGTTTCTTTGATACATTGCCTTTCAAGCATCTTCTACCTACTGAAAGAACCTTGCCACCAGGCATTTACCTTATTAAATCAGACTCCATCAATCAATAAAATTCATATTTTATAATCACCTGGTTGGCCTCATGTGTGTTCCTAATGTCTCTACTCATCCTCCTCATTCTAAACTCATGTTTTGCACCACCATATGCATCTGTCTGACCATCAGACCCACCGTGTGTGGTTCACTCACCATCCACTCTCTCAGCTAAACAGGAATGGCCTGCCATGGGCTTGTCCCTGTCAAACTTAATGTTAAGCCCTTATCCCTAGTGCGGCAGTGTCCGGAGGTGGTGACTTTAAAATGGGGTTGAAATGGTCATTAAGGTCGATTGACACTTCTTTTCTGTCGATGAGTCCTTATTCTCCCAGGACTGGATTAGTCACCATGACATCAAGTTGTTGTGATGTAAGTCTGGCTAGTTTTCTCCCCACACACACACATTCCTCCCATGTGACACTGCCACCATGTCATGACACAGAACGAGACCCCCATTACACAGAGTCATCTGATCTTGGACTTCCAGCCTCCAGAGCTGTAGACCAAATATACATCTTCTTTATAAAAAAATTATCCAACATCAGGTAGCTAATTATAGCAGAACAAGACAAACTAAGACAAAATCTAAACTGTTTGTCAAATAGCAATAGAAAAGGGGAACCTCCAGAATACACTTCTCAAGCAAAACCGTCCTTTCTGAAGAGTTTCAATAAATCAAGGTTCTTCTGTAAGTCTAGTAGCCTAATTTGATGGTGAAATAAGGGGGCATGCATTATATCTGAATTTATAAGATTTCTCCAACTGCTTAATTATATGACTATTTGATACAAGAGCATGGGATGCAACCATGAACACCAGAGATACAGCAGAAAACTTGAAAATAAGTAGCATGGCAGATTTTTTAAAAATGATTTAGTTCCACTTTTTAAAGAGATCACAAGATAGATTTTATTTTTCTTTTAATTTCTTCTAAAAGAAAACAGCACCAACACTATGATAAATAAAACTTAATCTTCATCCTCAGAGCTACAGAGGTTATGGGGCATGGTAAGACCTGTGTCACCAATTGGCTGTTACTGAACCTATTTGGCTATAAATTTAGAATTTTTACAAACTCACTTCCATTTTAAGTATTGACAATTAATCTAATTATTCTATAACACCATTCGGCCCATCTTTGTGCAATCCAAATAAATATGCCTCCAGGACTTCTGTGTGCCCATGGTCATACTTCCCAAAGGGAGTCATTTTAAGCGAAGTAAAGGGCTGGCCTTGACATTGAGAGGAGAGTCTCCAAAGTGAAGGTTTGTAGTTTAAAACCATGTACCCATGCTACCACTAGCTGATCCAGTGCCCTTGTATATCCTCACAAGTCATCCTCTGAAAGGAAAATTACAAAAGCTACCCCTTCCTTCATTCTAATAGAGTACCATGGCAGGACCCAGCAGAATCTAACACAGTTCAGATTCTATTCTTCTCTCATCAACTGACCACATGGTGCAGTTCACAAACCACCCAAGCATGTGCATATGACTTGAAACGGCTCCACCCAGCCTACCTGGACATTAAACCATGTGGATGAACAAATTTAAAAATCTGAAGAAGAAAGACAACCAGCAACCAGATTTCCCTACTATTGCTCTGCAATTCTGTCAGACTTTTGACCTCTGGGATCCTAAGGGTACACAGCTGGATGCAAGTCAGGGCTTAAACCTTCTTTACAGCCCATTGACTCATTGTCTGCCCGTGCTAGTCAGAAAGGAAGAAGAAAGATCTTGCACATATGCATAGGATGTTTCAGCCTTGAAGAAACCTAGAAGTGGCAAAGTAGGACAGGCCCCAAGAATAAGCACACAAACACATTGCGCAATCTGTTGATGCATTGTGCATTTGCTTTTACTTTCCCGTGCATTTAGAGGATGTTTAGCAATGCACTTTTACCCACTTCTCAGTTTTACCTGCAAGACTAAATTGAAGTGAAAAGCCACCACAGCTTCCTGTACCCACCTTTCCCCCTATTATTAGGAACATAGTAAGGTCACTGTGAAAGCAATTGCTAACTATTCAAATATTAGTTTTAATCAAAACGTTGATCTGGAAACCACAGCTGATGGATCTATCTCTTAACTGGCCAAAGACCCATATCATAAGGTACTTCTTGTTACAGAAATTTCCAGGGACAGGAGAGCCTGGTCAAAAGATCGGTTTCCCATACTCAACCTGTGACCCTATTTTTTCACAACCATTGTTATATAACCTTTACTCTTTGGTGAATAAAATAGGACTTTGCAAAATCTAAAATGGATCTCCTAAAACCCCCAATACCAAGTCTAGAGGGCTGCAGGGAGAAAGAATGCCCTCTGTTCCCTTCCATTCCTCTCTTCCCTACTTCTGTCTCTGGACCCAGCCACTGACACCAAACACACTTGCATTTGAGCTGCACATGGAAGCAGCTCTGCAGCCTTTCTGGGCCGGAGAATGCTGAACAGTCTCCTCTATTGACCTCTTAGGAGGGATGATTGCTGTTCTTTCTCTTGGGGGAGTGGAACTATTCTCTATTTCCACTCTGGAGAGAGCAAGAGTGAGTGAGTAAAGATGAGCAGTTATAACCTTGCAGTGGAGCCTCCTGTGCCTGACAGCCCCTCGACAGCTGAATAGATGGTGTCTGCTTAGTCATGAAACCCTTTTATTTATGTACTAGGGCTCAGAGAAATGCAAGCAATAAACCAGTGTTTCTCATTAACCTAGAGTTTCCACTAGGGGTGGAACAAAAACTCCACCACAACTTTTTTTATTTTAAAAAGAATAGAAAAAAAAAAAAAACAATAAAAACAATATAGAATTTCAAAACAAAAATGATAGAAAATGAACAATGGTTGTTATATGGCATATTGTTATCTTCAAAGTAGTTGTTCAGATTACCAGATATAGCCATGCAAAATTGATCAAACAATTAAGCCTTAACTCTTCCTTTCAATAAACCAACAGAAATTAATAGTACAATTATCTTAGCTATTTTATATATATATATATATATACATATACATATATATATATATGTATATATATCCCTTCCTTCCTTCTTTCTTTCTTTTCTCCTTTAATCTGGGGCTCAGAAGCCTATATGCAGGAAGTAAACTCCTGGGATAAAATGCAGCAGGAGCATAGAACAAGCTACAGCCCTGAAACTTATTTTGTGACAATGTTATAGCCATACTGTATTTTCTTTTACTTAGATTTGTCTTCTGGCAAGTTTCGCTATACCAATGGCCTCAGAGGAGAAGAGAATCAAATAAATGCTAAAAGGCCACTTCACTAACACCCCAGAACTTGGTACCTCTCCAAGATAATGGCACCCAAGAAAAGAGAGATTAAGCTCTTTTTCTACATCCAGAAGAATGTTGAGCAGCTCTGCACACTCTGCCCTGCACACTAGTTTCAATTTGAGACAAGTTCCACCTGAACAAAGAAGAGGCTCTGCAGGAGAAAAACATTCCTGACAGGAGTGCTGCTGCCCACAGAAGGAGGTAAATTCAGCCCAAAGTAAGAGAGAGTAGACTCTCCTGGTGACTAGGTTTGTTTGTGAACACATGAGAATAATCCTCTCTGAATCACAAGTCCCCAAAATACTCTGGCAACATGTTTTAGGAGGTCAGTGGTCCTAAGAGAATGGGTGGGTTCAAGGGCCAGAGATATCTGAATCCTTGGTTTTTAGGTAAAGCCACTTTGACCCCTAAAGTGAGGCCACCTGAAGAAACAAGATTTAAAGAGTCATATGTCTTAACTTTCTGTTCTTAGGAAGATTTTTGGGAACTGGCAGGGTAGTGAAAGAGCCCCATTTCTGCTCTA